GCAAAAGCAGAGCTGGGAACATGCTGAAAAGTTGTTGTTTTTTTTTACCTTAAGCAAAAACTCCTTCCCGGCTGTGCGGATCTCAAACTGACCCTCCTCTCCCTCCACATCGTAGCTGAAGCACGCGTCTCCGATCTCGATGTGTCCGAGCGGCAGGGCGTCCTGTTGAGTCTTGAAGTAATACAAGTAACATTTCCTCGGATCGTACACGAACCACCTCGGCTTGTACCCTCTCAGAGGCCCCTTACCGGACAGTTTGTTCAAGTACCCGCACAGCTTGGAGGCCTGCTCCTTCGCCCCCTCCAGCTCCTCCACGTCCAAAGACCTGGAGGAGACGACCCGAGCAGCCGAGCACGACTTGGCGTCGCTGCCATCCTCCTCTTCGTGCATCTTCCCCTCGAACTTTCTTCTTCTTCGCGCAGCAGCGGATGCCTACTCTTGTTTCCATCCGCATGACTGACCTGCCTCCTTGGCAAAAGGAGGAGCATGGGAAATGTAGTCTGCTTCAACGTCGACGTGGAGGAGGAACAACGTGTGAGTGGTTTCTTGGGACAGGTGTGCCGCTAGGTGGCGCTTTTTGACCAGAAGTGCAAAAAAAAAAAAAAAAGCTGCAGGAGGCAGAGAAAAACCATAGACTGTGAAAATAGATAAACTGAACGAGAAACATTTTTAACTGAAAGTGCAAAGTGCAGAAATGGTAAAATGTCTGTTTTGATGTTAAATGAAAGAGGTAGACTATTAGTCATCATGTAGCCTAAATAATATCCATTTTATTAAGGACGCCGTCAAGTAACTTGGTAGGTTTTTTTTAAGTCTATTCTTAAAAACAGTGTTTTTAATGTCAGTTTATAGATCATAGACTGTAAATATTACAGATGAGTTAAGTAAGTAATTAATTAACATTAATGTTGAGATGAACCATTATACATTTTTTAATTAAAAAAAGGAAAGTCAACCAAAAAATGTGGATATTATTCCGAAAATAGTGATTATTAAGGAATTTAGACTAATTAATTAATGTATTTATTTCAAGTTATTTATTTTAGTGGAATATTTGTTTTCCTCTAAGAGTGAAACTAAAATAATGTGTCGATTAAAAAGGTTAATCTTTTTTTTTTCAGGGGATATTATTCTTACTTATTACTGTCGATTCTACTGTATGTCTGAATTGTTATGTGACGTTTAAAAACACTATCAATGTATTGGCTGTAGCAAGTTATAAAGTGAATGTGAATGTATTGTTTGAATGATTTTTAAATCTTTTATGGGGTTTAAATACTTGAGGACTGATTTAAAACACAAATCCCATTAAATCAATCATTAAATCCTGCTCAGTGCTCAAAAATGGTTTAAATGCCAGAAAGGCGCATAAATGACTTTTCTTTTTAGGTTTTATTGTTTAATTTAAACTGTGATGTAGTTTCCTTGTTTCTCCACATCTTCAGGTCAATTTGAACCCAAATTGCTATAATAACTTACCTACATGTCAGGATTAGGAAGACAGTGTTGAGGTTCCCGTTGGGGATGACTTAGAGACAAGTTAAATAGAGAGTATTAAGCAGTCTGTTTCTGTTCACGTGTTGATATGTAAAATGTTATCTGTTTGTAAAAAAAGGGAAGCATTGTAAGGCGAGACAGTGGTGTGGTGGTTGGGCTGTTAGCCTGCCCACAGCAAGAGGTCGAGGGTTCAAATCCCTGGTAGGGCCTTTCCCTGTTTGGTGAATAGTCTGGTTTTCTCCCACTGAAGTCTGGATTATGCTTTTGAACTGTTAATATGTAGGCTACTGTAAAGGAAGATGTAAAAATCTTAACACTTGTACACTGGTGATGGTTTGGACTGTTGCTTTTTGGCAAAGAGGTTCAGGGTTTAAATCCTGGGAGGTGTTTCCATAAATACTTTAACTTTCTCCCTATCGACTTTGTACTACACTTTTGAATTGTCATGTAGGCTATGGGAAAGTATCAAATCAATCAATAGATCAAATATAAATGTTATATGTGTCTTCCTGCTGTGTTGTCTGACTGCATCGTTATAGCTGTCGTTCTCATGTTTCATCAAACTGTGTCAATGTGTCGTCCTGATGTGTCGTCTGACTATCTTGTTTTTCATCTTAAGTGTTTTCCAGATAATCATGTGAAAATCTGATACCTGCCAGCCAAATATTTCTCAGATACAGCGTGGAACATCCCACTCACGCCCTACTCAAATCTGTAAACCTGACTGTGAAAACAAGTCGATACTGCTTACTTTCATATTTATTCAGAAAGGTGCCATATTTGAGTATATACTGTAGCAAAGGTTAATTCCATCACATCTAAACATTACCAAATAATAAACTGTGTTTTGTATAATGGATAGACGTTTTACAAGTTATGAACGGCAACTATCTAAGCTGAATTGAATTTAGAGATGCACAAAAGATAAAAATTGACATTTGTAATTTAGTTATTTAATCTTTATCATCATAGTTAAGGGAGAAGACTTTATTCTGAGCATACAATTTCAAAATCATGATGAACCCCGGAGAGAGTAAAAAATATACTGATCTAACTGCGAAATATATTTAAATGTAGTTGAATGCACAATTCTGTATTGTAGAGTTTAAGCCACACATCAAGATGAGAGTTAGAAAGACAGTCAGACAACACATCAAGATTACAAGCAAAAATAGCTGCATCAGCCTATATATCTTTTGTGCTTTGAAGTATTTCTCTCAGGATGAAAGTACCGGTACTCCATGGCTTCAGACTGAACGCTCTATTGTTAATCCATGTAAATGAGATGAAGTCCTGTGTTGTGATCTTTCTCTTAAGCAAGCCTAGAAAAACAACTGGACCTAAATCTTACTCTCTAGAAACATGGCAGCAGGCTGTAAGGTTTGGGGACTGGGATGCAAAATGACACACACAAACACTAAATGATTTTTAATAAGCTGTTTTGATCGGTTAAGAATGGAGGGACAAAGGTGATGGGCTTATTGTTTATATTTAAGTACCTCCTGCTATGTGTATTAGCAATTTGAGTGTTATTGCATGGCCTTGCGGAACAGGCTTTACACTTCACTGCACATCTGCATGAGCATGTGACAAATAAAAATGTTGACTCTTGAATCCATTACCGAAAATGCAAATGTTTGATCACAGTAAAAAAAAACTTACAAGCATATAATGACGTCAGAAGACATGTATAACCATGAAATAAGACAACATATGAAAACACAGGTACGACAAAACTACAGAGGCCTATTTGTTAAGTTGAATCGATAGATAAATGTCCCCAGGAGAGAGAAAGACACTGTGAAAAAATAGCTCTGTTTCAACCGACGGTACAGACGACCTTTGAATAGTCACAAACAAATGTTTAATGAAACTCCATAATTATGAAACTTTTTTTTTTTCACAAATTTAAGTTGATAGATTAAAGTTTCATGTTTGGAATTATAAAGGTTGCATACACATTCTAAGGTCTGATTAAAAAGTACATGCCAAAGAGAAGTGATTTCATCATTTTGACATTTAACAGACATCAACCAACCTCTGACCTTTCAAAGACCTACGCCCCTTCACAGATATTTTTGCAAGAATACTGAAAAAGATCTTAAAGGTCAATTTTGTCCAGTAACTGTTTGATATCTCTGCTTCCTTTCCGTGTCTCTTTATCTGAAAGATAAAATACATTCACACATTGCAAACAGATTAAGATTAGATGGCTACATGACACTGAGTGTTACACGCATCAAAAAATGGATGACATTTAGACCCCAAACCTCTTAGACACCCACATAATGTCTCACAAAGACATTCAAAAAAAACCTACCATGCAACACTATCGAGATGATGTTGAAATACTCCATGCTAATTAAGCAATACTGAGTTGCGCAAAGAACAAACTCATTATTAGTTAAATGGTGGCTGTTGATATTTGGTGGTTTTCCAGTTATGTTGTTTATCACAATCGAACATCTCTCAAATTTATAAAGAAAAAAAAAACATCTCTTGTTTTAACCCACCAGAAGGCTGGAACATTTTTGTATTATCCTCCTACCCTATCTGATATTATGTACCCAATATATTTACATTTTCAATTATTCCTTACAGAGAGTATCCTCACAAAGACAAAAGAAAGAGGACGGGACGAGGTAGCAGGAAAAAAAGGACTGTGACATATATTTTCACACTGATTAAGGGGCGGACTCCAATTTCTGGACAGTTTTTGGAATTGCCTGTAATGGACTGTGACTATTCATAGCAAAAACAACAATAATATATGGCTCTGATGATTTGTGAAGTGTAACTTACCACAATTCTGTTCAGAATGATTTCTGTTTCTGTAGTTTGCTGTCATCCCATCATTTAGTTTTTACACCTTTTAAAAAAAAAATCTAAACCAAAGTTGTCTCTGTGTTTCGATGTAAGAAGTAGATTTTGACTTTGACGGTAACCTGATTTTCATTCATCCAACTACAATCCAATGGCCAACCAATGCTACAGGTAGCACTCCCGCCCTCAGGTTTGGTTGTTAACCTGACTCTCAAGTACAATCAAACATCTTTCCAATTCCAACATTACCACTGGAATTTGACATCAAGGTGAGTTCCCTATATCCAAGTGAATTTCAATATCTCTACCATGTTAGAGCCCAACGTCTTTCTGAGGCCACATTGGCGTTTAGAACCACACTGATCACATGTTAGGGACACGTTTGATCGACTATCTTAAGGGACCAACAGCAGTGTTTTCTCTGAAATCAATGATTCATCCTTCCTTGCATGACACAGAATTTTCCTGGTTACTGTCTCTCCCCCAGACGGAGGTCCCATGTAGCAAAGTTCATACACAACCACCTCTTATCCAGTGGGGAAAGAGTTAGGCATTATTTTTTGCCAACACTAAAACCTTATAAACAAGGTATGGAGTGATGTCATCGTATTACAGTTTGTATATGCCCCCTGAAATCTCTGCATACAAAGTGAACCTGTGAAATATTTCCAATGTCAGAAAACATTGATCAAGTGTTGACGCAACTTTTCTCCCATTGCTACAATAATCAGATAGACAGACAGTGGGTAAGATACGTAAAGCCGACGTACTTGTGAGCACACAAACCACAGTTTCTGTACTGCTTACTTTCCGTTTCTCTTCAGGAAGCTCTCGGCTTTTTTCAGCAGTAGTCATGCAAATGAGCTGTTTGTACTCCGCCGCGCTGTTGCCTCAGCACCAATGCTTTCCAAGCCGGTGGAAAAAGCGTGTGCAACTGTAAATGTCATGTGTCTATATCTCCCATGTTGGGTCAGACTCCCTCAGAAGAAGTACAGTGATAGAGGTTAAAGACCCTTTTTACAAGTTGAGAGACCCATTTGTTATGTTTTCTGAAATGACAGTAGGTTCAAACCACAGCCTGCCAATCTCCAGGAGAAGTAAGTACTCTTTTTACACCAAGTTTGAAATTTATAAAACATTTAAGTAAAAATAGTGACTCATTGTAAATTGTTTTTCTTTTTCCTTTTCAGGGGTTGAAAGGAATTTCTGCGTACTGGAAAAACAGGAACCCAGATCTGAGAGGACCTGCCACTTTTCAGGGTCAAGGACAAAGTATCAGAGAAAGACAAAATCCCCCTGTCTCAGGACCTGTCTGACATTTTGCCTCAAGGTAAATGCTGCCACCACCATAAATGGTCCCTCTCTGCTTTAATGACTGACTTATTAACCTGACTTCAGCGGTCAATGTAAATGTAAGTTTTGTTAAAAGAAATGTATTTTGAGACTGGAGGTGAGCTTTGGATGTTGTGGAATTGGTTAAACAATTCAATTAAGTGATAAAATAAATCAGTAAGTATTGTTTAATACATGTTAATATGTTGGGTATATTGCCTGAATACATCATTATACAAGTGAAAGATGAGCTTTGCACCTGGTTAAAGCCAGAACTGAGCGAACACTGAGTAACACATAACGTCAGGCTGACTCCTCCTGGAAAATAAGCAAATTAGACAGTTACAAGCCTCACTGTAAATGTTGGGAAATGATTGCTGCTGGTTGTCTTTATCGTCTGTCTGTGTGCCATAGGAGAGGCTGAGGATGGAGCAAAGAAAAACACAAGTGGATTCATACAGTGATGGAACTGAAGGGAGACTCAGGGAGCTGGCTTCAAAGTGGTTCTTAGAGACTCAAGTGCCGTTCATTGTTCATAACGGCTTCTTCCCCTCTTGGTTCCTGGGCTTCATTACAAGAAAGTAAGTGTTCGGCAAGGATACATGTCAGTATATATTGGCTGGAAAAAAAAATTAAGTTGGCTTCGAGCAAATATTTATACCTTCAAACTGCTTTTAAGGATAAAGAATTCACATTTCCGAATATTAAAGTTGTTTAATTATGACAAGAAGATATCAAATTCCTGTATGTGTAGTTAAAAAAAAAAAGAAGAAAAGTCCAATTTCCAAATATTAGCTATTAAAGAGGATTTCTCTTTAATACAGAAGTTGCTTTTCGTTGTCAGGCAGGTCTTTAACACAAGTTTTCTCAGTGGTTCAACTTTAAAACCACTGTTAAAAAGTTGGTGGATTGTGGATTTACTTTTTTAAAGGTGAAAACGTTCTTCTTGGTAAAACAGCAACAATAACCTGCTGCCCGTTCCTCTGGCAGATTTACTGTCAAGACATCTGCATACAGAGCACAAGGGACAGTTTTGTCACATTACGTGTCGTGTTCATTGAGACGACATGAGAGCAAACGGATTTTCCTTTGACAAGATGTAATTTCCAAGGGGAATTACATACGTCTCTTAGTACAGTACGTTGGAAATGTAGTGTGCCTGACTGTTTCTGGTAACTCAAACCAAAATGGGAAACTCCTGCAGTAAGACTTTTTTTTTCTTAGTTCATGTTTATGTTATGTTAAGTTTTTTGTGTTCTGTGTTTAGGGATGCTGAAGAGATACTCAGAGAGAAGGAGCTGGGCTGTTTCCTGATCCGTCTCAGTTATAAGGCCATCGGATACATTCTCTCTTATAAGTGAGTATTTGTTTATACTGAGGGTCTTGTTGAGAGCAAGCCTAATTGGAAATGAGCCTCACTTTAATAACTCAGCATCGGTATTGTTAAGAATCCTTGATGAGACTATTTCTAAGCTATTTTGTAGGATAAATATCAGTGGACAGTTTTAAGCTGTCTAAACCACATATCTTATTACAGCCATCTTATCCAAACTCCCTTTTGAAATTTTTAGAGCTATTGTTTTGTGTTTTTTAATTATTGTTTTTTTATTGCCAAAATCAAAAAAGTTCTGATGATTTCACTCTGATGATAACATTCGGTCAAAAAGAACGTGTTGAGAGTCATGGCGTTAACGTACATTTTATTTCCTGTTGCAGAGGTAGAGATCGATGTCGGCATTTTGTGATCAACCAAAGTGAATCAGGGCAGTTTGTCATCTGTGGAGACGCTGTAGGACATGACACAGTCTCTGGTCTCATAGAGTACTACAAGACCAGCTTCATTCAGCCATTTGGAGAGTATCTGACATCTTCATGTTTTGAGGTAAGACAAATATCCTTAGTTACAGTCTGTAACTGAGAATAGTAATGAATCTTGGATCAAGAAAGAAGGTCTGACTACAGGGTCTCGTTCTTACAGATGCTGAATGAAGATCTGTACGACATAATCCGGGTTAGTCCGACAGAAAAGCCTGCAGCCACTGTCAGAGATGTTTTAAATGTGCACATGAGAAGCACAGAGCAGCTACCTGCTAGGCCACCAAAGAGTGTCAGGACACAAGACGTGAGTAGACATTTTTAAAAGCATATTCTACTCTTTTATAATAACTGTTTTAGCTGACTGGAAGAAACTGACAGGAAGAATCTGCCATGTTTTTTTGAAACAGGAAGTACCACCACTGCCTCGGAGAAGCAGAAACCTTGACGCTGCCCCCCAGAATGACCAGGACAATGTTTTGTATGCTCAGCTCAGGAAACAATCACCCAGGGAGAGACCAAGATCCCAACTCCTCTCTCATGACATTACAGCGGGAAATAAGGACATAAGCAGGGTTAGTCCTCCGTCCAGACCTGACTCTTACTCCCAGCTCTGCTTGCTGGACACTAAAAGCAGATCTCTGCCGCTTCTGGACGACAAGTCTGATGGAGATCAGTCTTACAGGCTGAGTGCACCTCCAAACACACCACCAAGGCTTTCCCCGAGGCCTGTCAGACAAGCTGCTTCCTGCAGCCCACAGCCAGAGCGAGCAGACGCGTGCAGCAGGCTGAGCCGCAGCCACAGCCCGAAGCTCATGAATGTTGATCCCGTCTATCACCTGGCTGGCATGCCTGGTTGTCTTCAAACTGCAGCGTCAGAGCTATCGTTGACATCAGGGGAGCATGAGGAGTCAATGTATGCTGAAGTCTCAGCTGAAGCTCTCCTTTGCCGGATCCCTCATGTTAATAAATACAAAACGATTCCTGTTCACAAGGATGGAGCCCGACCTGAACCCGAAAGTAACACTTATGAGCCTCTGGAGGACATCAGACTAAAACATAACCACTCATCCTGGGGGTTAAAGGTCAGTTGCGTATACAGTCAAAATACTTTCATTTAAATACCGTACTTCCTTGTCACAAAGATGTACTAACAGTCAATGTTTTTTAACATGTTGCAGACTGATAAATGGAAATGGCTGTTCCCTGAGGCCAGGAGGAAATAGTGAAGATGCTACCTTACCAGCATCTGGAGGAAAAAATGAACTAATTTTGCTTTGACACTACAGTGATCCTAAATAATGCACACTCTGTTTTTCTTTTCTTTTTTTTAATTAATGTTCATAGCTCTTAAAATTAAGGTTTTTTTCTATTATTTATGTATTTAGCTGACATGATTATGCAAGTGTATGTATTTTTCTATTTTACAAAACAATGTTATTTACACAAGTCCATAAATGACACTTGGAAAAAAAACAGATGTTTCATTTTTACTACACTACTAAGGCCTTAATGGATCTATTTCACACCAGAAATCATTGTATCAGTGAAAAGAGTGCACTGTGTTTACACCTAATCTTTATAAACGTGTTCTAAGTTGATGTCATCAATGCAGCTCTTCAGTCAGAGGCAACTTTATTTGCGTACAGTTTTCGAAAGTCTGTATATGACAGCAATAGGGAAGTGGGTCAAACATGTTCAAAATAGCATTCATTATCTTTTATAATCTACTGCGTGTTAACTCTCTTATTATAGTTACCACCAAAGCCACACAGTGTGACTGAATGCTTTCCATGATTCTCTTACACAGCAACTCACACACGAACAGCCGCAGAGTTTTTGGTATGGAAAACTTGGGGTGTGAGTTTTCTTTGCAGGTGATGAAATGTCAAAACATCCAACTTACAAGGTCAACAGTATTTGAATATTGTATCTATCAGTTTCTCTTAACTCAGTGATTTAAATACACTTGATAAAGTGTCAGTGGCTAACGTACGGAAATGTGATTCTCTTCTTCTAAATCATAAAACAGCATGTCATAAGTTGTCTTATAATTGGGTTTCTGCACCTGAGTATCACCGTTATGAAACGCAACACACTAAGCACAGTATATAGTAAAAATCTAACATTTATCGTACAAAACAGCACATATTGTGTGGGGTTGTATAGTTCAGTATGGATAAGCAAGAGAGAGAGAATTACATAAATTAATAATATTATCCAAAATATCCTTTCCCTTATCTGTCACAGTTTGCTTTAGTATCCAATGAACATTGATATTATTATAAATGTATTAATAATAATCAATTTATTATTATTATCATTATTATTATTATTGAATAAGCGTTACTCCACAATTAATAAATGCTGAATAACACACTAGTAAACATGGATGTAGTCTCAGTGCTGACCGCCATTGGTTTCTGAAGCGCATTTTTAAACCCATTGATTGCGGTTGCCATATCGAAAACACTCTAAACACAAGTTTTGGTCAACCTCGTAACAGGCAAAGAGGTGTTGACGAGGCAGGCCTTAAGCCACCATGCAAATATCAGTCACATCAGTCATACCCCTAATTATGCAAAACTCTAATATTCATAACAACACAGATTAGTTATATAAAAATACATTTAAAAAAAGTAGACATTCTGAAATGAAAATAATAAACAACAGCATCAGATTCTTTAACAGTGTGTCATGAAGTACTTTGTAAGACCTCCACTGTCACTACACTGAGAAAGCCATTTTAAATCAGATTCAACCAGACAAGATCCCCATGGGGTGAAATCAGAAGGAGTTTCACACTCCATTTGGCTTCTTAACAGTATTGGCTGCTTTACAGCCCCGGTATCACTCTGCAGCAGAAGCTCCTCAGCTGGAATCACGATTAACAGATGTTCAGGAATTAATGAAGTCACACAACCAGCAGCGTAACACCCTGAATATTTGAACCCGCCTTCGTAAAGAGAAGTGGAGATAGCTGAAATGTGGATTATACTGGCTGCTTTGATGAGGGCACACCTTTTAACTGGGTTCATCAACATCCTCCTTTTTTTTGGACAAACCAATGCATCAATTACATCAACTTTTCCACTAAAACTTGTATTTTTTGTTACCAATACTGTAGCTAAAGGGAAGGAAACCTACAGCATACCCATTATAGTTATTATGAATAGTTTAATCTCCGCTGCGTTATTTATTATGCTAAGCCTTCAGCTACAGTCCAAATATCTGTAAATGAATAAGTAAGACTCAATCATCAATCAACCAAACCACATTCATTTTGTTGCCATCACACCCACCACCTAAGGCCTAAAAATATCTTGGACATGATTCACAGGGGGTGGCTTTCCGCCTTAGAGACTGATAACAAAATGCTCTGCTTTTATGTTTGTATTACTCACTAGTACAAACTGAGCTTGAAAAATGAAAAATGAACTGCTAACATACCAGATCACTGACCCTATGCAAATCTGTCCCCTACAGCCTAGAAAGCAGCACCCATTAATCTCAGTCCAACGTGATAGAGATGACCACCCACCAGCTCTCTCTTGATGAGATTAACTGTGTGTGCAGGATGTAATCATGCCTGCGAGTGCTGAGGCAGCTCTCTGCTAATGATCACATCCTGCTAAACAAGTTATTACAGCTCATATGATGGGCAATGCAGAGGCACAGTCATTTCCTGAGCTTTACTGTGTACACTCACTGATCATTGCTATCTGGGTGGGTTAAAGTAAATCTGTATAAAGGACTAAACTAAACTCATATATGTTTCTAATTTCTTATTGGTTTTTGGTTACCTTACAGTGAGCGCTGCTTTGTTTTCACTGACACCACAAATGCTTTCACATCAGTAATTCAGGCAGAATACACAGAGAAAAAAAAAATTTATTCAAAGGACGATGAATACCTGAAGTCACATAAAATATTGTGACATGTTAATCCCAAAGAAACATGGCTGGATTCAAAATCTCACAATACTGGCTGAGACAGAAGATAAAAGCTTTAGTTGACCGAGCCCTTATTAAACTGGACAACAGAAAAATGTGATTGTCATAATTCTCCAGTTCTGTAGTCAAAATACACAACAACTGTAAGCAATACGCGGCATGTACAATTAGCTCATATTAAATACCTGTAAGCCCTTAAAGCCAACACCGTGCTTTCATTCACTTCCAGCTTGTCCTTAGCAAATACCTAGTTTCTTGTGGGTCATTGTAGGAAGACTTGACTGGGGGGTTTCCCATGTGCAATATACTGTAACTGTAGGTAGATAAGCATTTGATGCATTTTTGAATATGCTCCATAAGTGGCAGAGTCTGGCTAAGTCCCCACATTTTCATCCCTCAATTGTGGAAGGAATAGCATTTTGTCCCAACAAGAGACCATTTCAGGTCAAGCCCTTTCATAGCTGGTAAAAGGATAAAACACTTTCATAGACAGAAAGGAAAGTGAGCACCCCGTGGATTCAGCGGTATCCAGTATTTTGATGTCTAACTGATGTATATCCTGTCGATGAGAGGGGGGCAGGCACTGTGCTGTGGTGAGGACAGGATGCAGGTAGAGTACTGAGGTTCACCAAACTGTCAACCATGGAATCTCTTCATCAGATCCGTATATGGAAGGTGCTGGACAAACAAATGAGACAATTTCAGGGACCAGCAAATGTAAGTAGTTACTGTTCCCGTATGTGAGTATAACCACGCAGGAATCAAGCAGAGAGCAGTGATGTCATTTGCATACCATTAATTTGCATACCATTGGTTTGCATGAATGAGCATAGTGTTGGCTCAGCATGAGTGATCGTGTCTGGCTGACAGTTAAATGATGTAAATGATGAGCAGCCATCTGGGTAATGAACATTTTCAGTAACCAGGGATGCACAGAGCATTGTACTACAGTATGAAAGGACATGCATGTATTGGTTGATGTTTTAAACAATTACCTTAAAAAGTCAGGAGCCCTTGTTATCATGTTTTCAAAGTCAGCATAGGAGAGTTTGTTGTCTCCGTCCAAATCTGCCTCCTCGATAGCTTTCTCGCACACCAGCACCACCTCCTCAGGAGTCAACTCCTCTTTTGTCAGCTTATTCAGAGTCTTTTCCAGGTCCTCTTTACACAGGTAGTTATCCACATTGTAATCTATTTGAAACAGGATATTGGAGCAAACAATCATACATCTTTATAGAATAAATGACTGGGATATTTGGGAAAATGATTATAGATGTTTTGGTCACTACCATATATTTTGAAGGCATAAATGGCCTTGAGTTCCCTTGGAGCAGTTTCACTGAGGACTGAGAACATGTCAACAAATTCATTAAAGCTGAGATTCCCCATCCCATCCTCTGAGAAAGACTCTACGATCCTGTTGCGGAATGGGTTTTCCTTCAGATAAGGAGAAAATCAACATTTTCACACGAGTGTTAGAGCACAATAATGTAAAGCTTTATCTGATTTATATACCCCATTACATTTTATTATATCCCAAAAGAAATAAAGCTTTCATGAGCTTATCTTTATGCTCTTTTGTCAATTTCACAAACAGGACTTTTTCTCTTTTTGTAGAGGACTTGTCTGACAATGTTCTTTTGTCATATGGTGTTCCACAGGGATTGGTCTTAGGATCCCTTTTATTAACCATGTTCTTGCGAACACTTGGACAGTTTAACGGTAGATTTAGCAATATTCAAATAATTTCTATGCAGATGGCATCCAGCTAAACCTTTAATGATACATCTCATCCATTCTTTTATTTTTGAATATTTTATCTGGTGTTCAATTTTTGTATATCTATCTGGAGTCTTACAGTACCTGTCATATTACTTTTTGATTTTTATTTGCCTTGTTTTAGTTAACTGAGATGCACTTTTTGACTGGTATCTGTAAATTGGGTAATAAACTTTGCTTGCTTCATAAATAAGCTGCAGAGGTGCTTTTCTGCTGATCTACGGCTTTGCTCCATCTGAAAACAGGCTGAGTCTCTGTCTTTGCTGGTATGGGGAAGCCAATATTTTCTCCTTTGTTGCTTAAACATAAGATCCATCTGGAGATTTTATATCCCATATAATTAGATGGGTTAATAAATCTTGTTATGAATCTAAAGTAAAGTAGGTCTAAGGTAGGCAATCAAAATAAAGTTGAAATATTGGTTCTTCTATTCCTAAGCTTTACAAAACAGGATGGTTAGCATGTTTAAGCTTAATACAAGGTCAGCAAAAAGAGCCAATTGAATTAGTCCAGTTTACTCTACAAAGCTCATTAAAACTGACTGGGAAATATATTTATGAAGCTGTAGAGAACATTGGTTGATTCTTTATGGTCTTGGCCTCATCAGTCCTTTCATTGGTACAGTCTTCATCTTCCTCCTGCCATCCTCATAGACCTTGAAATCATGAGACAGTTTAACAGTCTAGAGCCAATTATGCCCAGGGTAAGGACGCATTATGAGTCTCTGTGC